GTTGACTATATTGGGCGAGTTCGTAGTGCCATATGTTGTCTATTATTAGGAGCGGTGCAATTTGATGCCTATATCGGTCCATCAGTGTTGTCATATGAAAATTACTTTCGTTACACCGGATTCTATGATTGGAATGTTGTATTGCCGATCGGAAATCACCGAGGAATACGTCATCCATAAGCGTCGATATAAGCGTCGATATGACAAGACAAATTTTTGTGTCAGAATATTAGAACAACACCTTTCAGAATTAAGAGAACTGTTGGGAAGCAAATGGTGCTTCCAACAGGATAATGATCCCTAAGCATACTAATACCTTGTGTACTGCAAAGGACTTCTTCAAATGGTTTTTTATTTGGACTGCCGTCCAACAGTCCTGACCTTAATTCTATTGAAACATTGTTAAAACAAATGTGGAAAAAATAAACCAAACAACTGTAAGGAATCCAAATACTGTCTTAATTAATTTAGTAGATTCGATGAAGCATCGATTTGAACTAATAATAATTATAAAAAATTAATGGTGATTGAATATTTTAACTGTTGTAGAAAAAGCCTTGCTTGGCATTCAATATTAAATAATAAATCAAATAATCATCACTTTATTAAGCTTTCAAACCATGTAATATATGATGAGTTAGAAAGAAATTTGTTCGTGTCGTTTTGTCTTTTTTTTTTGAACACCACTGTAACTGTCATGTCGAAGATGTACTATTCATTCGTCTTCATTAAAGTATTTCGGCATCTTGATTATTAAAAAAAACTAATTTGGTTGGGGAATTTTTCTTTTTACTCAATTTTGTTTTTTTTATTTATTAACTCTCTTACTACTTATTACTACTTGGCTCATTTGCTATTTAAATCGTGAACCTATGATTTTATTATGGTGGTTGTATTCGGATGGAACAAACTTTATTATTGTTACACAATAAATAATATTAGTTATAATATTCTTCTTGGATAATATCTGAACAATGTTAAATGTAGGCTAATTTCCAATTTGATATTTAATCCTGCTAGTGCTTTCTTAATTTTAGGAACAAAAAGTTGCGTGGACTTGATCGAGACTATAGAGTGGATTGAAATAAGGCGACTAAAAGTGTAATTAACGAATTTCAAACTAGATGATGAGATCTTAGTATTATGGTATTCACACATTCGAATATTGTTAATATTAATAGTCTCCTTGTTTTGTACGTAAGAAACATTACAGCATTCATTGTTAAACTTTATATACGAGTGGTAGGCTTATTCTCCACACAAAATCTGATCAGGTTCTCATTTGAAGTTTGTACAAGTTACATAATACTAATACAGTGTTGTAAAGTTCAACAGGCATTTTTTAGTTTACATCCTACATTGGAGTAAAAACTTATTTCTTTGACATAGAATGATCGGGATCTACGAAGTACGAGTCAATCCAATCCACGCGATGCTTTATATTCATTTTCAGTCAAACAGTTTTCGAGTGCTATTTGTGTGTTCTCATGCTTTGGCTTGACGATGGCAATATTATTGGGGAAATTTGCTGTCTAAGACACGTTGAGAAAAACACTATCATTCAAGAGACAAAATAACGTCATACGTGGTATTATAGAGCGCAAATTTTAAAGAGTACGTCGTGTATTATACGTATAAAATTAGAAGATACATTATTTTGTTGCATACTAACATTACTACGTTACAAAGAAGAGAAACGAAAAACTTTATATTTCTTTTCACTAGGAGATTCTACCGTCGCACTCTAGTTCTCAATCTTAGCCTGCCTTGTTGTCGTAAAATAGTCTTTTTTTTTTTTCGAACTAGTATTAGACAAAGGAACATTGACATCGTTCTTGCTACAAATGCGTGTCTCTTCTGTTACAAACGCGCTAGATACCGGTAAGTGGTATTATATCACATCAATATCAGCCAATGCAATAGATAAACTAATCGATAATTAGGTATAAAATAACCACGTTCATGTTCTGTTCAGATTGAGCGATTCTCTTCAAAGAACCTTATAACATATTTTGCCGTCTCTCGATCCAAGGAGCAATCAAGCAATTGTGGTTCGGTTGCCGTGGCAACATTATAAATTGTTCGGAGCCCTTCTTGTATAACGTAACAATCTGAATAACGAATATAAAATTGATCAGAACCATGCTACTAAATGAAATAAAATATTTGAAACAGTACCATGTAAACAAGTTGACAGTTGAGAAATCAGGTAAATCCATCGATTAGTCGTCAAGAAAAATGTTGGATCATCCAACTGCTGCATATTAAATGTAAGCAAAGATAATTTAACTTGATGTCAACGATTCTTACTTACACTGTCTATCAAATTGTAAGTTAAATGTGCATTATAAATCTCCTCCAAAAACAACATTGCTTCTTTTAAGTTGTGAATTGGAATTATTGTCTTGGCAGATGAGCAAGAGAGAAGGCTGAGAAAGAGAATAGGGATGATCAAAATTTTGCTACGAACAACGAATCGGAAAAGTGCAGGAGATGTCCATATATAAACCATTGTTTACGCCGGCACTTACCGCGTCTGAATCTCGTACAAGGGTGCAGAATTTCCAGACTTGAGGGATAATAAAACGAAAACGTTTCGGTATTTTCTAGAAGATGCATTTACCCTATTGTTCAAAAACCGGGGATGAACAAATATTGAATACGTCACAGTTCGGAATCTATGCTTTCGTTAATGATATTTACCTTTCTGCAACCTTGGAAATTAAGTAGGTAGCACTTTCTTTTTCGAATTCATGATTGCAATTTAGACAGATAAAAGTTGTATTTGACTTTGGGAATGTAATGTCCTATCGATGTAGAGACTAATTAATGTTTATTGTAAAGGAAAATTGCCGCACGTTACAGACAATTTTACAAACACCTGGCGTTGATGGGACATTGTCAACGTCTGTGAACGCATTTATTTCAACCATATATATGAAGTGCGTGTGTTAAAATAACATTTATACGTATTCTTACATTACGTTGCAATACATAGACCTACATCGTACTTTCCACGTTCGTTGCTTTATTTCGTCAATCATACCGCGCCATGAGATGTCAATACTTTTATTAACAAGAATAATTGGTGGTAGCGGCATGTTTGAAGAGTGCGTAAGATTAGACATTGTTATCGGTTGCAGAAAATGACAACCTTAATAATACACGGTAGTCGGGCATGTGACATAGATGACGTATAGGATGTCTCATGAACACAGTCTTTTATATCTGGCTTCCTTTTTTACTACAGGTGAAACCTGTTTAACCGGCGCTGATTAAACCGTCTCGGCCGCCTCACGACTACACCAAATTTTCATTAGTTAGAAACTTTCTCTAGTTAAACAATTTTCTGAGCCGGTCTTTGGCTAAACCTGGCCAAAAATTGGCAAACCAGGCCCGCCGGTTTCACCTGTAACGTTTGGAAATTGATCAACAGGCATGGAACTCGCAAGCTTTTAAACGACGATAGCGATTAAAATACATTGGTATATAAACTGCAGAAATTTAACAATGAAAATCTCTAGATCCTTGAGACGTAATAGAATGGATAGGCTGGCGAGCAAGACGCGGTAGCGGGCACGATAAGTATCTTACCCTTTCTTGGAACCCGAATTTGTTAAATTATTTTTTTATTAGATATATAAGTATTAATATTAATGACAACTTTACTTTAATGTTTAGTCGCATTTTTAGATTATGTCATGGATAATCAAATTAGTTACAAAATCATGACATTAATGTAGAGTTATCTTCGAATTTACAGTCGAACCTCCATAAAGAACAATGGAACAATTCTATGATCAAAATTTTTAAATCCTAAGCAATAAAAATCTTCTTTTGGGTTTAAAATAAGCTCCGAATCAGAATTCAAACAAGCAAGGACTTTTTCATATACAGTGTGTTACGGAATTTTTTACACGTGACATAAACACGTCTAGCGCGCTGTGTACGCATGCAATTTATAACGCGTAAAATACAAAACAAAACTTTGCGTTTCAAGCTAAAATTTAACGTATTTAACAGTGTCATTATTACAGCAACTTTTAAGATAACTTCGTGTACAATACCTCTTTCAAAAGAAAAAACACAGCGTCAGACTATATTACATTTGTGGAATAATGGCATTCGAAATGCCAAACAAAGCCATACACAGACCGGTATTGCGCTCAGTACTGTTTATTATAACATCAAAAAACTGAAGAAAACGGGGACAAATCAGCACGCAAAAGCTTACTTGCAAGTGAAGAAGAGAATGCCGCAAAATATTGAGGATTTGGAGCAATTTATGAAGGAGGAGTGGCAGAACATTCCAAATAATGTTATAATTAATCTCGTAGACTCAATGTCTAGACGTTGTCAAAGTGTAATCGAGAGAAACGGAGAAAGAATTAATTATTAATTTGTTATTAACAAAATTTGTGCGTTTTTTGGCTTTCAAACAAGCCATATTTCATAATTTTCGAATCGCTGTGGTACAACATGATTTTCTTTGATTCCGGATAATTTTGTAACACACTGTATATATTATTATGATATACCATATGTTCCCTTGGTTGCGGGTGACATATATCGATATACGTTGATTAGTGATGTTTAAACTGCGATTTATACTCACGATCTAAATATCGGTCTTGTTATTACAGTCTTTATCCCCTAATAACTCCTCTCACTGTCTTCAAATGTTCTCAGCCAAATGTTTGCTCCGCAATCACACTTGACAAAAAAAATGACGTCACCGTTTGTGTTATATGAGCTTCTCAATAAAGAATCTGTCGCAACGGTCACGTTACTGTAACAGATCTTGGGGTAGTTTCACGGAAAGAAGCGTAAATAAAGTCGCGTCAAATTAAATTACGTGGAAAATTATTAGGCAATTAATTTGGCGTGACGATATATAAACGCCATTATTCAAAAATATTCCTTATTGTTTATCCATAACGCTTTTCGGTAGTCCATTCCTCTCGTCTGCCTGTTATTTTGTGCTTAGTCAAATTTTCCTAATGTCTCGCGTCCCAGGAAAAAGACGAAAGTGTGTGACTTTTGTAAATTTCTATTACTGTGCTAAGCTATTTATGGACAGATCTCACAGTATCAGATATTGACGAAACCTATAAAGATTCCCTAAAAGCAAGTGAAGAGTATCTGCTTGTTTAACTACTACTATATACGGTCAAACATATTTGGACCCAGAGAAATGTAAAGCCAGAGGTTTTGAACCAATCAAGTAAGTAATTTATTAGCTTTGTTTCTTGGTCTCTTTGCTGATGTGTCTCTTTCTGCAGAGCAGCTGAGGAAGAAATAAAAGGGATCCATTGGGCAGAATGGATTGAAAGAAGAACAGAAGAGATAGGATTTTGCGCTCAATTCGAGGAATTTCTTGCTAAATTGTAAGCTGACATCTTGTTTCTCTTAATTATAAAACGAAAACACAGTCTCAAGTAGAACTAATGTCATCTATTTTTATAGTCCGCCAGAATTTGTAAATAAGGATCGAGATCCGAAATCTCTGGATTGCTTGGATGACACCCCAATACCAAAGAAGAGAAATAAGAGTGATAAAAAGCCATCAACAAAGATATCTATTTGTGAAGTGGTATTTAGTGGAAAATGCTGTTAACTCTCTTAAAATTAGTTCTTTATTGATCAAAGCTTCACATCTGTGAACCATAAAATCAAACTTGAAGATGGATTTTATGTCAAGGTCATTGCTGTAAAGATGAACAAAGATAATGTTTTTTTAGAGGTGGAGGAAAAAGTTGGAGATAAATTGGAATATTACGAAATTGAGTATCAGCAAGATATGGTTGGATTGTAATTTTTATTATTTTCATTGATCTAAATAACCTCATTTATTTCCACAAATGTTATAATTCTGATCATGGATATTCTTTGCCTGATTATATAATGTTAAAATTGTCGAAAAATAAATGCAACGCATCAATCGGGTAGAGCTTTATTAACGACTTTATGAATTATCAATGCGTCTAAGTAACTACCTATGCAAAGGTGAATTTATTGTATTTGATCTTACCAAGTCGAAAGATGATCCTTTGGCAATTCGGTTAAGGTTTGATACTCCGTTAGATTTATAGAATTGCGTAAAAGAATAAAAAGTGACCAGCTGATGCATAGAAAAAGGTATAAAAAGCTACGCACTATATATCACTTTTGAAATCTTGGATTTGTTTGTCCCTGATTGCTTGGTCCAGTGCAGCTCGTCGTTTTCTTGTAGAGAATCATAAAGACCATTTTTGTCAGTTTTCGCCATTCCGAATGTGGCTGTCTCCCATTTTTCAATAGAGAAACCGCCTTGGAAAACATAACTGTAACCCGAGTCCATTTGAATGATTCTTTTTGGTAAGAGTATGTACTGAAAGATATATAGCTTGGATGCTAAAAGGGTTGGGTTTTGTAGTAAAGCTATAATAGTAATACAATAGGCGAATTTCTCGAACCGACTATTCCTTCTAAGGAGGGAGGGAAGCTTAACCCTATCACTTAGTTTAGCGGTATTGTAATACTCTTCGCTTGGCATCGAGCAGTAATGTCATCACAACGGAATACGTGTTTTTGCTTGGCTCGATTATTTCGTTAGTTATTATTTCCGCAGTAGCTAATTACTATTCAATAATGTAATATGGGGCGGGGCGGATCCGCATCACAACATGACAAACTTTTATCCAAGGTATGTTGGTGCTGGAAGGGTCGTTAATGGGATTACATGTCTAAATTTGGTTGCTCTAACCTCGTCTTTTACGCAAAAAATTTTGATTTTCTACTTTTTAATCACGTGATAGTGAAAATTTTCATTGATAATTTGAAACACGTCCTGGAGATTTTACAAAAAAAACTAATACAGGATGGCGGAAGAGACAAGAGAGTCTGTTCTCGGAAAAAGAGCCGAACGAGGGGAGGAATATTCCGAAGATGGTAAGGTTACGTGCAATTGCGAAAAGCAGAGATGTAAGGAGAGAGAATATTATCACAAGGGAATGATTTGTCCGGATCCCCGTAGTGACTATTCTCTGCGGTCATCTATCTTCGAAGGCAATTTGGTTATACTACATCGTACTATCCACCATTCTGAATCTGCAATAAACTTTTCTAGAAAGCGATCACGAAATCGGTCCTGCTCTTCCGAGCGCGGATGATGCACCCAGAAAGAAAGCACGAGGTAATCCTCCAAACCGCTACGTTCCAACGTCATTCTTGAATCCAATCCTTATTATGATCCCCTCACTTCTTTTGCCTCTACTCTTTTTTTGCTTAGCTTTATTTCTATTTATTGCCTTACTGTAATCCTTTGCCCCATGCTCTCCTCACGCCTTCAATTATTTCGAGCGATAACGACCCAATCCCCGTATATTTTATATCCCAACTCACAGACGAAACAAAATAATTCAACAAACTACCACAATTTTTCCACTCAATAATCAGTTTTGGCTCACGAGAAACTTTACCTTGAGAACTTGCCGTCGGCTGATATGTATGAGCGGTCATATATGCATAGAGACGTGCTTAATTTTGTAGCTGTTACCAAGTATGTGATGGAGAGGATGGAATCTGGCTGGTTTGATGAGTTGATTTGTTGGAATGAAATTAACTCATTGCTTGTAATGTTTATCGCGATTTTATTGAGAGCATCGATCATGCCATGTACCTTGTTTACTGAAATCATTTATTTTACAATAGAAATGATTTCGTGATTACCACTTCCGTCGATGGTCATTTAAAATTCTGGAAGAAGAACGAACAGGGAATCGAATTTGTAAAGCATTTTCGGTCACATTTGGGTGAGTTTTAATGCAATGCAAAAGTTTGATGTTTTTACGACGCGTATTAACAATGGAGAACGTTTGTACTAGGGAGTATAACTGGAATAGGTCTTTCGGCTGATAGCAATCTGCTCGCCACCATTGCTGTTGACAAGGCGATCAAAATTTACGATGTCATTAATTTCGGTAAAATAAACGTTTTATGTTAACCATTGATCAACATGACGATATGGGAGTAAATATTAATCTGGTTAATATTATTGCAGATATGATTAATATGATGAAATTAGACTACATACCGAAATGTGTTTGTTGGATACATAAGAGGGGACAAGCTCAAGCACTAGTTGCCTGGTAATTATAATGATCGAGTAGTCGCGTAATACCTACAACAAATGATTAACAGTTGGTCTATAAAAATTGTGTGTAGCACCGACCAGGAATCGTCGAAAATCTACATATATGATGGTCGAGGCGACGGAAAGCCATTACACGTACTGTCAACAATGCACTCGCATCCAGTGCAGGTCATGCAGGTTAGTATGGCTTTTGCAGTATTGATTCCTCGGATTTAACTTACTTTTTGTTTGTTTATAAAAGTATAATGATAGATTCCATTGTGTCGTATCGGCAGATTCATCAGGAATGATGGAGTATTGGGACCCGGAAGAACCCTTTGAATTGCCAAAGACAGTGGCATTCGAATATAAATCCGATACCGATTTATATGAGTTCAAGAAAGTAATTATATTGTTTATTAGGCATATGTTGATATTATGTATTATTTTAATGATCTAATGTCCGAACTATGCTTTAGACCAAATCTGTCCCACATACTTTGACGTTTTCCCCAGATTATACTCAGTTCGTAACGATGAGTAGTGATCGCCAAGTACGCGTTTTCAAGTTTTTGACTGGAAAAATGGTTAGGAAATACGATGAATCATTAGCAGTTGTTAGCGAAATGCAGCAGGTATTGCGAATTTCAGATTCTTTTTGATATATTGTGTGAATACATTCAACTTACGATTCGTTTATTGTATGATATAATAGGCCGGTACAACCATATATAGTCTAGATGATATGGAATTTGGCCGTCGCTTGGCTGTAGAAAAAGAATTAGAAAAGACTCCACAAGTGACGACCATGAATGCAGGTATATGTTTGGATTTGATCTTATCAAGGCTATATTAACTTAATCATTGGTTCTAAAAGCAAATCGTTATTTTTTTGTCAGTCTTTGATGAAAGTGGCCATTTTATAATTTATCCGACTATGCTTGGAATAAAAGTTGTTAATATTCATACGAATAAAGTCGTACGTCTTATCGGGAAAACCGAGACGCATAGGTTTTTGAACGTGGATTTATATCAAGGGAAACCGAGGAGGAAAGCCTTAGTCACATTGGTATGTTGCGTGTACACAACATTTGCGTTATTTATTTAGACTATCGAGCCTCACCCTACATTTGGTATTTACTAATGTATCATCAGGCAATGGCGGCTTCGGATAATCCATTGATGAAAGAAAGCGAAACTGCAGATCCAACATTATTCTGTACTGCATATAAACGGAACAGATTCTTTATGTTCACTAGGCGGGAACCCGATGCGTGAGTGTGAACTATATATATGTTCAAACCATATAGGGTCTATGTGATTGTGCGCGCCGATAACTAATTTTTCCCACTTAATGACAACAGGCAAGATTCGCACAAAGGAGACAGAGATATATTCAATGAGAAGCCGTCCCGTGAAGAACAGACCGTCGCTTCTGCACAGCCTACCAAACAGAAACTCGGCACAAACGCGATTATTCGTACTACGTCTGGAGATATCCATATCCGCTTATTCCCCGAATATGCCCCGAAAGCTGTTGAGAATTTCGTCACTCATTCGAAGAATGGATATTATAACAATGTCATATTTCATAGAGTTATTAAGGGATTTATGATTCAAACCGGAGATCCATTGGGTAAGTCAATATTTCTAAAAAAAAAAAAAAAAAGTGCTGCGCGCAAGCCATCTACGGCGATATAGTTGAGAATAAATTGCTTATTAGCCTTCATCCGCAGGCGACGGAACGGGGGGTGAGTCGATATGGAGCTCAGACTTTGAAGATGAATTTCATGATGAACTCAAACATGACAGACCATACACCGTCAGTATGGCCAACACTGGTCAACCGGGGACGAATGGATCACAGTTTTTTATTACCGTGGTCCCAACCGTAAGTTATTTGTAATTATTGCCCTGAGAAAAAAAAACGATACTTTTTGAGTTATACTCATTATTCGTGTTGACTCACAGCCATGGTTAAACAACAAACACACAATATTCGGAAGAGCCACTGCCGGAATGGATGTTATTCATTCGATCGAAAATGCCAAAATAGACAAGTTTGATAAACCATACGAGGATATCAAAATTATTAATATTGAAATAAGATAATTATTTGGCTTTTACAGTGATTTAATTTTAAGTCAGCGATAGATTTTTATGTCCTGGCTGTTACCGGAAAAAATAATTCAAACATCGTCAAGAATTTTGTTATCATCAGCGACTTGAAATGTGCAGTGATAAATAAATTTGACGGTTGGCTTTATTAATGTCATTGAAACTTGTTAGCTTTTAAAATAACGATAAAATTATTAGGCTTTCAGCCCATAATAATAATACGCAATGAAATTATACAAGTATTGGAGAACAAAATATTTCGCGTACGCGAATATGAACGAGAGTATCTGTGTATTAGCTAGCAAGGGCCACAAGGTTACAACCGTGTGGATAATGTTAAAAACTGGCGCATTGAAACATAGAAGAGTTAAAAAAATTTTCATTCGATATAATTTTATGTAATCATTACTTTTGTGCGATATCTATTTTACTATACGGTCGTAGTTATGTTTTCGTAGTGGTTATTTTTTATAGCATGTCGTTTATCCTTGGAACATCTTAGTATACATAATATTATTTTATCGAAATAGTCAACGTAGCTAATGCACAAACGTACAGTATGTAAAGGTGCATAGCAGTCTTTTGCTCGTTCTAAACACGTATTATTTCAGGCAACGCAAGTCTCCCGATAAACACACTTCGATCATTGATACCGAGGCGTTCGGATACTTTTGACCCCACTGTAGAGAGTTCTTTTATGGAGGTTCAGACTGTATATATAATAAATGATCTTGCGATCGATCTATAATTATAAATCTTGGAATAGAGATCAAAGAAGGATGTGGAGGCATATGCCTCGGGACAGAAATAAGAGACGTTTTGAAGAATTTCCTGCATATTGATATAGTGTATAATGGACTCTGGTCACTGTAAATTTTTAGCTCGATCGGATATCTCCAGAAAAGTTCCAAGCATGTATTTAAAACATTAAAAACATATAAAAAAATCCACATCTCCACATTTCTAACCGATTTGCATAAAAAATTTTTTTGTTTCAATTCGTGTCTATATGTTCCTCAAATATTTGGTCCGAATCGAAAAGAAATCGATACTTAGCAATAAATGCGCATAATATTATTCGATATCAACGTATCGCACGATCATTTGCACTCTACAACACAGTAATTCGGTCAATATGCATTTGTGTCGAGATATGAATTGCGCGTGGGTATAGTAATAGAGATACAATATTTGATGTTTGGAAATTTTGCCAATCGAGCTAAAAATTTACAAGTGATCAGAGTTTATTATACACTATATTAATATGCAGGAATTTTTGCCTCGAGGTAGAGGCGTTCGGATACTTTGGACCCCTCCTGTATCAGAACGTCCTCAGAAAAAGCATTGTAGTCATGGGGTAGATACTAATAAAAGACAATCTATAAGTAGAATGCTTATATTTACAAGTAGCCAGACCTCGTCATTATAGTTATGCAGTCATTGTTACAATTTCTCGCGAGCCTGCTTAACTTAATAACTCGCTATCCAATGTTAGAGCATCCGCATGAGTGTTTACGGTATTTAACAAATACCCAGAACTTTATAGTTTTAGTCAAAGATAGTGAAAAATAGTGCCAAATGGTAGACTAATGAGCATAGAACTGCTACCAGAACAAGAGGATGAAATGTAATTCTTAAGCGGTTGGATTCAAAGGAGAGTCAGCCCCAAGTTTATAGGTTTCACAGTGAATCGATAGTGGTGTCAACTGAACGTACAGTCAACTACTGTCTATAGTCCCTTCCTCTATAGTCACACCATATGAAAACTCTGGTTATAGTCACACTTTCCCAAATTTCCCATTGCCATTTTGCTTAGTAGAACATAATGAATAAACCCCTTTCTATTATCCCTCTGTCTATAATCCCCACTTTTCCGAAATTTGCATTGTGCCAAAAGGTGTGACTATAGACAGTAGTTGACTGTATACCGGAAAACGAAAGAAATTATTTACAATATCGAAGTTTATCCAAATTTCAACATTGACTTATTAAGGGTATCTAAATAAATACTAAAGGTTCGTCGAAGTTTACGCATATAAGTTGAATGAATTATGTAGTTTAGAAAAATAATTATCATGACTATATCGTCGAGCATAGCTAGGTTGGGGAAAACTTGAATAATGAATCTCACAAAGATTGCACCAGCACAAGTCTAGTGTTGGGAATCAAATCAAGCTGTTGTGGATGAATATATTGATCAAAAACTAATATTTTGTCAAGTGCGTAAATTAGCAAGCCGCTAAATTTAAATTTTACGCATTCTCGCTCCAAAATATTAACATATATAGCAAACCGATAATTTCAGGATATCAAAACTTAGTCGGAAAAAAAAGTTTACAGCGAAAGTAGTGAATTAAAGGATATAAATTAAACGAAAATTACTGGTACATTAGCAAGTGTTTGGTTTTTCTTCCCTGAGGCCTGTCGATAAATATTGTATAAATAATGCGTTTACCCTATAAATGTAATAATAATAACGAGTAATGCATCATTATACCAAAGAACGTTCACAACAGTACGTCGGAACTCGTTACCTGACTGGTAACTTTTGCAAGTTGTGTGCTTTCAATTTAATTATCAATGTATCCTGTTCACCATTTTTCGGGCAAAGAAGATTCGAATATTCACAACCAACATCAAACAATCAACTCATTCCCCTGTATAATGAATAAATGAATACATTTATCACTATGAATTCAAGTCGAACATACTCTGGTCGACAGTTTCATCCGCAAATTAACTATAACCATTAAAGTTAATATAAGATACCGTATGTAACATATAAAGACAATTTAGTGAGAATCAACAAAGCTAATTATCATTAAAACGGTTTCGTCCGGCAGGTTTAATTTTTTCTGCATGACGAACATCTTCATTTCGGCCCGGAAGTACTTGCACCCGAAACTTTGACCTCCTCTATATGAGAGTAACATCATGTGATGTATTGTAATGTAATAATGATGATAAACAACGTCATTTACACTTAGTTACACAATGACGGGAAAACCATTTGCGTACAATGTGTTTCGGAAGTCTTTGGGATATAATTTCTGTTAACTTTATAATTATCGCATCAATTTACATGTATAATGTCTCATTAAATGTTATTCTATGGAATTTTATCCCATGCCTCTACCATAAACTCTTCTTATGATTCATTTCCACGACAATTATTTATCTTTTGTCGATAGTTGATAAATCTGGTGGACGTTTTTCACAAACGTTAACGGATTGAACATTCACGTTGCATTACAGTTTGACAGACGTTTGAATTTATTTTACAGATTGAAATAATAAACGAAACGATTAAAATGATTGTCAGGGAAATGAACTGGTCAGGAGGAAATGATTATCGCGGAATACACTGTCGGGGCAGATTGTCGGGGAAATGAATTACATACTTACATTGTGAGATTTGGTTACGTTACAGTAAATCTCTTATATCTCAGAAATTCGTCCTATTACTTCCTGCAATGTCATAACATTCACAAATGATCACTAATAGGCGCGTGGGAATCAAAATTTGTCTTGAATTGACATTCATCCAAAAATTTGCATGTGGAGATAAAAAAATTAATCAATAAATTAATCAGTAAATAGTGACGATAAACATTGAATATATCTGAAACAATATCGGATTTGATATAATCTAAATAACTCAAAACGCGAATTCTAAAATGAGACATATAAATTAATTAGTCTGTAATTTTCTATATATACGAGGTCTGTCAGAATGTCGGTATTATCATCTAAACAACGATCCTGTTCTGGTCAACAGTAAATTCGATATTTAATATTCTACAATCACGCTCTTTTTATAAACTCCTGTTCTGGACAACAGATATCTAAATCTACCATCCTATTATACAAAAATAATGAAATCCTTCCTCTTGCTTCTCGTTATCTGTTGCATTGTCTCCAGCATGACAGCTCATGCTTTACCTCACGAAGGTTAAAATTAATTCTCTTCCATTTACTTTATATTAAATTTTTCTCATAATAATTCCAGTTTCTCACCATATACTTAATGCTTGATTTATATTTCATTACAGGTCACTCTCACCTCTCAAAGCGTTGCAGTTTTTTCAATGAACTTATTGGTAATTGTGACGATGGTGTTGACTTTGGTGGAAATTGTTCCGTTCTACCTTGTAAAGATGGTCTGGTTTGCAAGAATGATCTCATCACAGGAACGCCTACTTGTACTACTGACAGCTAAAGGTATGCTGTGTGGCCGGCCGATTTTAATCAGTTTGTTTTAGCACTAATTGTTAGCTTGAATGCTGACCAGTTTTATTACACCCTTATTTAGTGATAATATGCCGGATATTATCATCATGTGCTTATTTCAGACGTCACAAATCGCAGTTACGCCAGATTTATTCCGAATCTAATAATAATTATCGAGTTCTAATATAATAGTCTTACTGGGATGATTCATCGAGAAAACCGCAACGCATATTGTTCTAATAATTAATGACCACAAACAAACGAATAAATTTGAGATTTTGTAACTGTTTAATTAAGCTACGTAATAATGATTGACCTCTTTTGACATCTCTTCCCGATGGAACTTGTGATAGTCTGTTTAATAGCAACGCATAATGTTCTGGAAAATCGTTATAATGATTATTCAACGAGCAGATGCAAATAGAAGAATATGCAGTGAGCATGTTATAAACAGACGCGACGGTTCTCCATTAAATCGGAAAGTTTGCCGAATCGAGTTTTCAAATTTACAGGATATTAAATAACAAACCGTGTACAGTATATTGACCATGATGGTTTTCTGTACTATAATAATAAGATAACCGACTATGCAATGTTGAAGTAAAAATTCAAGCGCCATTTTGCCAAAAATTTATTGTAGATTCTGTCGTTTGTTTCATAGATTACAGCGACCAGATATGACAACGCTTGCAAATAAAATCGAAATGCGAATTTCGTTCCTACGCGTAAAGTTTTTTTATTCCTATAATAATATACAATTAATACAAAAACGATCCCCACATTTAGGTCGATGCATGACTGTATACTGTATATAGCGAAATTATCTATAAAGTTTAAATAACCTGGAAAAGAATAGGCAATTCTATACTACCACTTAATTGCAAGCATCTTTAGTGAACCAATCGCCCACCAAGATACCTACAGACTTGTCTGGAGGACAATCAGAAAGTACGCCCTAGACATTTGTGACATGAGACGATTTTACAATCTTCATAATAAAATGGTATACATGCTGTTATGATGTAGCCATTGTGTCTATTCCATTGTCTGCTTGCCAGGAACTGTAGTAATAAATAGAGCTATGAGTAATTGTATCATAATAGTCAAGAAACCAATTAAAGAATAAACGTTCACAGCAATCGGTTCACCACATGCCAGGGCTGGGTACCTGACTGGTGACTTTTGCAAGCTTGCTTTCAATTCAACGGTTAGCATCCTATTCATCAACAATTACGCCGTGAGGAAACGAACGCCTCAGACAGCGTTTGCTAACAGAAATCGACATAGCTGTAAGTGTTTTAAAAGTATCCTGTATTCGCCACTACCCAGAACGTCTCAAACAGCTTTCTCGAAGACGAAGATTCGGTTCACTGCAGATACGCTCGGGAATCTCCGATTTACATCATAGCTGGAGGAAATCTCGGGTAATAGTAACGAAGCAATTCTTCGGTTTACACCTAATGGCGGCGTGACTTGGATACATACGCTAAATGGCTACTACACAAAGTAGCTCACGTGTTGTGGAGTCAGACCTGCTCGAAGGCAAGCGAATTTTCCACGATGCCACCCAGAACGTCTCAAACAGCTTTCTCGAAGACAAAGATTCGGTTCATTGCGCATGCGCTCGGGAATCTCCGATTTACATCATAGCTGGAGGAAATCTCGGGTAACGAAGAAATTCTTCGGTTTACACCCTAGTGGCAGCGCAACTACTTACACTAAATGGCTACTAAACAAGTAGCTCAACACGCTGTGAAAGCAGATTTTCTGCGACGCGCTTTCGATTTCCGATTTTACACCTTTAGCTGGCAGCGCTACTTTAGGATACAACCACTCCACAAGTACTCAGTGAAAAAATTCTCACCTTGGACGTGACTCGAGTCCAATAGTCCTTGCCAATCAGTATGAGTTCGGGCCAGGGTTCGGTTAAAGATTTACTGTCTACTCGCCGGCGAAGCACAACAATATTTCGGGTGAAACTGCTTATTTCAAAATGGACACCGAAGCCGCGTGTTGGGTACTGTTGCGTTTTTGTTGGCGTGGATATTTCCACGTAAAAGTATTCGTTTTCATAGTAGTCCAGCCATTTCAAAATGAACCAAGTTATTAGTACTTGTCAAAGGGATGTCCTTGTCCATTGTATATGCCTGATATTGATATAATAATAATCACCTGCAAAAATTTGTTTGGACATAGTAATAGTATCACATGACTGTTTAATCACGCGGTTATGTCGTCATCACCCGCTGCGCCAACGTTCAAAAGCGGGGTGCTTGCGTTTGGACTAACAACTTTAAAATTGCTGCAATACTATGAAAACGAATTTGCGGGAATACTGACGTGGAAGTATCAAAAGTTAACAACGAAGGTGAGAATTTTCACTGAGTACTTTGTGCGTGGTTGTATCCTGCCAGCTAAAGACGTAAAATTGGAATCGAAAGGGCGGGGAACATTGGCTTGCCTTCGGCAGGTCTAATTCCAAATGTAAGCTACTTGTTGGTAGCAATTTAGTGTATGTATCTGTATCTCAAGCCCCGCAGCCACCAACTCCAGCTACGCTGTAAATCGGAGTATTCCCGAGCACTTTGCAATGAACCGAATCTCCGTTAGAATGAGCTGTTGAGCATGACTGGTAGTGGTGGATGGGATACTAAAAGCACTTAAGCCATTTTCGATCTTCGTTAACAAACGCTGTCTGAGGTGTTCGTTTCCTCCGGTGTAAATGCTGGCAAATAGGATACTAACCATTGAACTGAAAGCAAGTAACGTTCCCAGTAGGGTGTCCAGACCCGGCATATGGTAGACGGCATGCTGTGAAAAGTTCTATATTGGTTAACCGCGATAACACATTACTCATACGTTCGTTATCATTTGTTTTAGCTCCAACCCAGCAGATGTGGAGATTGCAGACAACGCGATTTAATGGTTGAGTAATAATACTCAACAGCGTATTTCTAAATGAGCATCCAGTGCAAAAGCCATGGATGTGCAATTGGCAGATCTCAGATATTGATTATTAATTATTAGAACCCAGTACCGTCTTAGTCTGTGGGCTGATAGGAGACGCCTGCCATTTAAGCCGCGGGACTGTTGTGATCTAAAGGGTACATCAAGTAGAATATATTGTTAATACTAATATGTCCACACAGCAAAAACTGCATGCGCGAATTATTGTTGAGGCAGCCGTAGGACCTCTTCACATAATTTACAAATTGCTAACACATGAACGTCCTGACAATACACAATTTTGATAGAATAAAATAAAAGTAGACGCTCATTATTACGGCGAAGACTTTATTCAAGACGGAATAAATTATATGAAGACGAAACCCTTCGCTGATTCACAACAAGATTGAATACCTTAACTGACGTTTGTGCACTCGAGTCTAATCGAAAAGAACCGCGAGTAGTATGATACATGATGCTCGCCACGTCCGAATTATTGTTGACAAGACCGTATTATCTATGTGAGTTGGAAAATCTAGAAACAGGCATCGATTATAGGACGCGTCTCAGAGTTAAGGCTGAGCATGGGCCAAGTCGAAAGGTCAGCTAATCTCTTCAGCTGAACGCGACAGTTGCTGGGACACATTGCAGACAATGTCTACGTCGTTGGGCATTGATTTTAACATTGCGGTATAATAACCTATTAGCAATATTGGAACGTGAATTGAAAATAAAATCACACATACAGTATCAATTGCCCAGCCTCTGCATAAAGGTAGGAACGATCCCACACTGCGTCCAATTGGCTTTTATTGCTTTGAATAGCAATATGATAATTTCGTTTTCTAATAAATGAAGTCGTGACGACAGATGTATTTCCAACTTCTCGTATAGGCTGACATTCCATACAACACTCCTTCCGAACAGAAACTTGGACAGTTTAACTTCTAAAAGACCGTCCCAATCTCTTATATTATTTCACAACTCCACCTCTGCCTTCTCGGCTATTCTCTTACCTCGATAACAACCGCAACCCGTCCACAACTCTCTGTGTAGTGATAACTGGAGATAAAAGTCGCGTCCAAATTCACAACTTGATTAGTACCGTTTATAATTGAAAGGGCAAATCTCAAGACGTTATTTGAAATAAGGTTCTACTTCACGTTATCACATTTGCCAAGGTCTTGTGAACGCAAACGCGAGTTTGTGATGATTACATTATTATAGAGAAAAGCTATTTCGTTGACGAAGAAATTGTAAAGATAATTTTGTACTAATTATATGGGCTGCTGGACAAAATATTGAAACAGTTGTGAGTCAATACTTACACTCTAATATCCAACCTGTTTGGCAAAAAGCCCGGGTAATAAAGAGTAACAGTCTTATAACAGTTTAATATTTTCGAAGCTCGCAAACCCTTTGAGAATTTATTTGATATCCAATATTTTACATTGAAACCTTTCAAAGGAAGTTAATAGATAAAGGTTTTATTTAGACTTCTATTTGAGTTTGTAGTTCTTGCATTTGCACTGACAATGGCATTAATGTAAAATTAAGAATGTCATATAATCAGTTGCTCGTCAATAAACAAGGAGAACGTTTATACACGAAACTTGAGACTTTGGCCATCTCTATACCTGCTAAACGTACGATTCGACATTTTTGACAGAGTTTGCTCCTCTTGTCGGTTTTATAGACGCTAATGTTCGATAGCAATTTAACCCCGAAATTTACTACTATTTTATAGATGCAAAAAAAAAAAGAAAGCGTATATCTTTTACGAGTTTTATGTTTCGGAAAGACAAATTATTGTATTTTTCTGCAAGTTCGACTACAAGTTTGAATACATAGCGTGTGACTATTGCGTATACACCGCGGTTATAAATTTTATTTTTGTAAATTAAAGAAATAAAGCTCGCAGAACCATGACAAATTTGTAAACGAGTTTATCATCCAAGCATAGCAATCAAATGGTTTTCCTTTGGCACTTGTCGACAATCAAGCACAAAATAGTGCCAGGCCTAAACGAACCGGTGGACAGGAATCGAAAGCTCTTACTGATAGAAGAATTAACGATTTCCAATTCTATAATAGGAAGTGATATCAAAAGCTATAATTCGAAAAAATTGCGACGTTGAATTCAGAAGGTCGTTATACATAAATGGAAAGTTCTGAAACAAAATGCGTTTCAGTATCAATTCTAATAAGAAAGTCACGGTATTTATTAGAACAGTTTGAAAGCTTCTGTTTTTTTAAAAAAGCATTATCTTGTCAGTTGCCAGACGTCATATTGTGACGCCATCTCCAACTTTGTGATAAATTTCCAAGAGAACTTATAACACTGACAAGTCAGACAGCATTTTCATTGTTACATAGTTTTGGTAAGGCAGTGATCCTGAAAATCGCCTGTAAGGCACGATGCTGGGGGCGTGATGTTTGAGAGAAGCTGTGAGGCATGTCTTACAAAGGTAGATCCATTTTTAAGTTCAGTGTGAAATTTGCCCGCCGGATTGGTGTCTTATTCAATGTTGTACCTCAAGTGCATGAATACTAATTTAGCATTCCGACACTCACCAAAGAGCAATCTATTAAAAGATAAACCATAAAAGTCTATCTTGTGGTATTTCCAACAAAGATACTCTGCTAAAAATAAAGAACTTTGAAGGATCAACTGGAAGGAAACGATTAATTAGAGTTTTGTTTATTTGTTACGTTATTATTATTGTTATTATTATTGTTGTTGTTATTTATATTATTATTATTATTATTATTATTATTATTATTATTATTATTATTATTATTATTATTGTGTTGTTGTTCTTATCATCATTCCACCTATGACGTATTATATATCTCAAAATCACATGATAATTCGGGGGGGGGGGTTTGCGGACGACAAATTTTTATTGAAACACAAATTTACTGTCAGACGTAAACAGCACTGATAAGCACTCAATAATAAATAACATCATATTCGGCGACATATTCCTGTATCACATGAATCAAAAGTCATGGCTGTCTATTCAATTATGCTGAATCCCTCAAATTTTATTTCCAACATAGTGAACACTACCAAACAAGTAAAAGTTGTAAATTTGTCAAAAATGTGAAAGAAACCTCTAAAGAAATATTTATACTATATATACTATATACGAATATTTGAATGTAAAGTAAATATACTCGTGTGCAAATATACAATTCGAATAAAGATTTCACCAATGGAGAGGAGAGGAAGGAGGAAGAGCAGATGTGGAAGAATCAATGTTTTCGAAGCAGATAAAAATAACAAATATGCGGATGTACAATAATGCAACCAATATAGAAATAAGTGAAATATTATAATTGGGTATAAAGAGATATTATATACCCAAAGAATGCAATGAAATGTTAATGCTAATTGTAATGAAGCAACTCGGCTCTTCCAACATCCATACGGAGGTAATTATTACGAGTATCACTGGTGTGTGTGTTATTATTAGAAAGTAAGAACTTCTCCCTCCTACTCCTCAGAAACACAAAAATAAACGTTAAACGGTATGCTGAAATTATTTATAACTCAAAATCGCACAACTACTATTTATAATACTATGATAACTAAAAATAAACTTTTTGATTTTAAATTTTTGTGTACAGGTTTTTCAAAGGAAAAACCACTCTACTTGTAAAAGAAAAAATAAAGGGGAGAGGGGTGAAATATTTAAAAATTAATTTGAAAGGTTGAAAAAAAAAAAGAGATCAATTAACAAGGGAAATGGGGATAAAAAACTATGTGCAAAGAAAAAAGGGTTATATAATGTGGACAAAATATATACAAAATAGTAAACAAAGAAATCAAGGTCAAAAAGTCCACTTGGTTGTAATTGAGTCCTCGACGCTTGCAAAACCCAAATAAAGCGTCGTCGATGATAAAAGGTCGTTATTAATGAGTACGTTTGTATAGAGAGCGAGTTGAATCCGAGAAAGTATCTGAACAGCCGATCACTGAGCAAATTCGTTGAAAATAATGTCGCATTTGCAAATCCCATCTATAATAGTTTGGCGTTTCTGTTACTTTTTTTTTAAAAAACTTTTAACAAACACTCCTGGGTTTGATCTCGGGCTTAAAATTCACGCTTCCGACACTGAGACTTCTCCTTCGTCCACCTTCAGACAATGACAACAAGATAGCCGCTCTGGAACCTTTCGAGAAAGGCACAGTGACACCGTTATCCGCAATATTTCCGTGCTTGTCTATATTTAAACTCTCATCGTCGTAGGGTGCGTTCAAATCACCAGTGCTCATCTTTTTGTGCATATACGTAAACGAGGATCTTTTTGGGTTACTCGAAACTGGAAAGCGTTGGTCAGGTGAAAACGATTCGTCCAAGGGGAGTGGGTTGTTGGCGCGAGTAATTGGAGATGAGCCAAACATCAGATGCGAATAGTCAACCGTCAGACGTTGGAGAGCCGTTGGTCTTAGAGCCTCAAAATGGTTCCCTTCGATATTATGGTTTTTAGGTTGTCTAATCTCGATCGCCGAGGTAGAGTAGCTCATGTGGGCCATGGCATCTTCATCGTCGTATTCAGAGCCTTCGTTGTCAGAAACGTTTGGAGGTGAGACGGCACGAGCGTGAGTGGGTGAAGCGGATTGAGAGACGGGACGAGAAGAATCACGTGAAGAAGTGGCTATGATTTCCTTCAGTTCGGCAAAGGCGAGAGCTTCAGGAGTCCTGCAAGACGTGAAAGGAAAGTGTTATTTAAACGAGTTGATAAAAGGTGGGGTGGGGTGGGGTGGTGTGGAAATAAATAAAAAAAAAAAAAAAAGGAAAAAGAAAGCGGATTGATACAAGTGACTGTATTTTCATACTTACATTTTTTCATGTCCAAGACTTCCAGCGTCCTCAGACTCGTTTTTCAATCCACCATAGAGTTTCATGCTCTCTCTTTCTACTGCTCGTTTTATGTTGACAAGTTTTTCCTCAGATCCAAATCCACTTAGCAGACGTAGACCTGCACACAGGGCTTTCTTTGGATACGGAGCGATAATACGAGGGCCTTTGTCGCCAACGTCTCTGTACAAATGCGGATTGCCGTCGTGATTACTTGGAATAGAGTTCTTCCTAGCGGATGGGTGTTCGGCAGAATGAGGTCGAGGGATTGAGTCGGCATAGGTCCGTTCAGTGTTGGAGGCGGCAGAGCTCGGACGTGGAATTGGAGAAGCGATGAAATGTTCCGTGCAAGTGCGGTCATATTGAGAATGAAGTGGACTATAAAGAAGCGTCATTTTGGTAAGCCGAGTTTATATGAGTGTTGGTGGTGGTTGTATTTCCAAAGCAAATGTAGTGAGTGTATTATACAAGTAATATATATTCACAAGGGATGAGTTTTTGTTTTCTTCCTTTATCTTTTTGCTTTCAGAGTCGAAGCACTTGTAAAGGAAGATTGGAGATATTATTAGTTTTAGTGATGGGAAGAAGAGGTATTATGTTGGGTTGTATACGTGATATTAAATTTTATTATTTTTGCTGCTCTTCTTTTTTTTTTTTTTAGATGGAAGAGAAGAAAGTGAGGTTTTTTGGTTGGACGAGTGTGAGCGGGATTTCAAACAATCCCCGAACTTATATTTGTTTTGGCCGCAGTTAACATGACAAATGATAAAATAGGCGTGCATAAGAAATAATGCCAAGTCAATTAAAAATTCCGGGCCCAATTGAACACAAGTTGGCTCGACTGAAACTTTTTTTTTTTCTCTCTTTTCCAATATTCTCCTTGCCTATATCCTATCACAACAGCCCGTCTGACTTTGTAGCGTCGTTTCATATTGGTCAGTCAAAACGGAGAGTGTTACCTTACGTTATCAATAGAAATAACACAAACGATAATAGTGTTGTTTGTCGAGCAAGATGGAAAAGTGAGCAAGCCGTGACATGCGGATAGATGGTAATGGGAATGTGCATACGTACAAACACGTACAATGATGATATTATAATCATCGTCTCCTTACACATAACGTGTCTTGATATTGTACATGTACATATTTTGTATTATTGTACCATATTGATCCATTGATATTAATATGTACTATTGTATAAATTTAAATTCGTGCATCGTTTTCCTGCAGCCCGTGTTGTGGGATTGACGGAATTGTCAATAATCACTCAAGTAAGGCAGTTCTATAGATAAATATAAGGTTTAGGTATTTGTATAAGCTACACACTCTTTTTTCTCCCATATACTACATATAACAACACAACAACAACACAACAACAACAACAGTAACAACAACACAACAACGGCCAAAGAATCATTCTGTGCATCGTGGTGCATGCAGTTAATTAATGATAAGTAATTACAAATTTATCATGATTGGATATGATGACAGTAGCACTTACGCAGAAATCACATGATAATAGCGATAAAGATCACTTGATCGTTCCATTTCAGGAAGCGAAAAAACACTTTCGGGTTTTACCGTTTTGAGCGAAACAAATTGAGTTTAGTATCAGTCGAGTTGTTCGACTATCCCACATTTCAAACATTCCATTCCCAGCAACCGAGAGCGGAACATATGAAGAGGTTTATAAATGTCTGCGTTTCTCGTTACGTAACAATTAGTAAGTCGTGCGTCATTTGTATCCTTCTCCCCCGTCACAAATTACGATGGGCGTCCGATATCGGCTATCACCCATCAACTTGGACTTTTTACATTAGTGACAATAATGGGAGCAGTGACTATTAATGGCAAAAAGAAAATCACCCAAACTTTTTCACACGAATAAAAGGTTTTTACGTTTACTCGTGATATGTCACACAATGACTGTTAGGACGCACCATTAACAATACAACAGTTTAATATATTATCGTTTTTATCTGAAGTTGACAGACTGGGGCAATATAAGCTGTATGTGTGCATTGATAGAAAAAGCATTTCTATATCGTATATAGTTTATTGCTTTAATACTAAGCCAATAAGAACATGGGTAGATGATGATCATTGGGACTTTTTTTTATACAGTTTATATAAATGCTTGTGACATGGCCATGTGTATGATGTCAGAAAAGACATCAACGGATTTAATGCGTGATGCGACTTTACGGACAAGGCATGCAGGGATGCACCAAAGCTAGTTTTTCTCAATCGCATAACATGTCGATCTTGAGAAGAAATAAGCGAGTGTTTATCAATAATTTACATCTGTCATTATTATCATTGTTGCAAGTGAATGACAGAACTTTATAAGCAGGATTGATAATTTCTGGATGACTTTGGTCAGACTTGCCATACATTATCAGAACGCTATACTGTACTGTATAGAGTATTAATTTATTATAGTGTAGATGTCTTTGTGCCTTTGTCAATAACCAAGCAGGATATAATGCAATGCTTAATAAAAGATAAGACTATATAATCAGCATGCAATAATGCGTTGTGTCAACGTTATATCATTGACGTAATTGCCTTGATGCTAGACTTGATGTGAAATGTGCTAGTGAAGTTACAGACTAAATCAGAAAAAAGTCGTTAGCCTCACCCGTGCAACAATGGCGTATTTACGTCTTGCGGAAGTTAGCATACTTGTACTCCATGGCATCCACTAGTAAAAATCTACCCATTTACAACTTTTTGAAGAAGATTGCCTCGATTGAAACGTAGCGATTTCCTAACCCTACTTTTTCTATATTTTCATTGTCTCGGGAATTTGCAGTCAAGTCTTAATCAAAGCGTATATCAATCAAATTACTCGACGCGTTTTTAAGAAATTTCTTATTCCCATTCTTGATCTCCATCGTTTTTGAGTGCTCAAGTCAAAAGGCAATATGCTACCTGTGTGAAGAGCAAATCAGAATGTACTTTTCGTTAAAAGTATTCTGCGGGTAGTTATTGCTTATACAGTGATATATTTACATGGTTAGATCAGGCTATCTGAACTTAATATCGCGTGATATAATCATGAATCAACTTATTGACACAAATTATATCTGTTTCTCTTTCACCCTTATTTTCGATTCCAACCATCTCTCAACTGATTTGTGATGAAGTTTGCGCAACCCTCGACCTTCCAATTTCGATCATCAAACTAATCTAACAATTGAAAGAGTATCATTCAGTAGACGATCATGGGACATCATGATCACAAAGTTAACATTATTTCGATCGTAACCAATTGTCTAAATTTTGCTGTAAATGATAATATCGATGCCCCAACATTCTCGAAGCTATTCTCTTATTCGTCACCCTACGAGCTGCTCATTGATCTTCCAATGATTACGATTAGATGGTATGTCAGAGGAAAAGAGCATCCTCTTCCAATTACAAGTCGCTGCGTCAAAGCATCCTCAATTATGAGATTCCGCAGAACGTCATACTAATCCACGATCGATTTGGGAGGCAATCAGCGGAACCTGACGTCTGTTCATGTTGCAATAACCATTATATTTTGTTCAATTACAAATCTATTGAGATTGTTTTCGGACAGAAAACTCTTCGAAATATTGTTACAGATGTAAACTACCGTACATATTCATTGTTCAGAATAGTTTTAACAGTTTTGTTTTTTTTTTTGAAATCCCTCTCTTAACTACAAAGAAAAGCTCCCCTCTTAGTGTCTATCCCCTCACCCTCTATTACCTCCCAAATATTATCATGACACCTTATCATCCGCTCGTAAGTTGTAGTGTTGCCTGTCCTCTCTCTGGGTCAAGCAGCCGATGAATTCGTACATCCGGCCCAGGTAACATGCTGCTAGCATCTTGAGGTGTAATCAGAATATACTGAATACAATCGGCCTCGCGTGCACTTTCAATCTATAATCGACAAAAAGTTAGGTGATAATCTTAAAGTGCAAAGAAACGAACGGGAAAAAATGTACCATCATCTTCATGCTTATTCGACGGTTTACAGCATCCATGAATACATCAAATTCGTCTAAACTATAGAACGAAAAGTGCATTTAGACAATGGCTCGGTTCTATTTATTGTATTACTACCTATCCACTTACCATCTTATTGGACAACATATGCCTTCCCATAGGGATAAGAGGAAGCATATCGTCGAGAATGACTTCTCGCCACCAGATAGTGATCTTGGATCCTTATCTGAACTCTTTCCCATTTGATCATCTATTTGAATCTAATATGAGAATAACAGACGAAGTATTAAATAAAGAACATTATCACCATAATCCATATATACAAAATATCCAAGTACCTTCAAACTTAGTTTTTTATGCTCATGGTCAAAATTGAGTTTCCCGTGGAAGCCACGTTTCGACAACTGCCAGCAAAAATTAATCCTAGCTCGTAAAGCAATGTATTGTCTAAAGACGTGCCACTTGCGCATACGACTTTGCAGTGCGTTTTTCAACTCCTAACGGTCGAAAAAAGGGGACAAAGTGAGAAAAGATTCTATGGTCAATTAGAAAAATTATTAGAAAAGGTACCCTAATGAAAAGTTCTTGGTTGCTGATTTCAACTCGAGCTCTCGTAAAAGATTCGCGCTTCCTCTTCATATCAGCGCCTACTTCTTCGAGGCTTTTCCCATATCTACAAAATAGTTAGTCATTACATAAACATTAATGTAAAAAGAGTTTAATATAGTTTTGTATACGCACTCTCTCTCTCTCTCTGCTAGTCTTGATTGAATCTGCTTGATTTCCCGGTCAAGAACGCTCGCTGTTTTAGTTACTTCTACTCGTTCTGGGCAATACGCTTCGGCTTGTTTTGTTGTTTCCTGTGCAGACATTTACCGTTTAAGACTTGTAATCGTTACTAATACATTACTATTGCTGGTATAAAAGCCATACCTCCAGCGCCGTCTTTTTTCTAGTCAAGTCTTCCTCCAGACTGGTAACTTTTCGGCGCTCAGCATCAAGTTTGTTTGTAAAATATGATATATTAGACGTTAGCCTGAGCCGTTCAGTCACCTTTGCTTCCACTAGGTCCTGGGTATAGATATGAAAAATAGTATATTGAGTTCTTCATGTCCGAAACCATAACGTCAATAGAATAACCATCAGCCTCACTCTAAATTTAGTGGCGTCTTCTGACATCGCCAAAAGCTGCCGATGCACTTCTTCAGCTCTGGTAACTAGAGGACGCTGTTCTTCATTTATCTTGTCAGATTGATGTCGCAGCTCGATAAATTGCTTGGTCAATAATTCAATTTCCGTTTCTATTTCCTGTATGTGTCAAGCAGATGTTGAGTATGTACCTTGTCGCCGTTAAATACAGTATACAACATCAAAGAGACGTCTTACTTTTATATCATCCATTATGTTGGCCGGTTCATCTTCCTATTAATTTATGTTGGATAAATTATACAGTACTTCCTTATATCCTTATAATCAATAGAAACGATGAATACCTGAAGTTTATCTCGCAGTTGTTGTATTTCTGCGCGAAGCTGGACATTTCGTTGATTGAGCGTTTGACTTTCCGACTGAATCCAGCAAAAATTATATTAGTAAACTTATTATAAGTATAATAATAAATAAAATATAAACTGTCCTTACCTTGAGACTATCACGTTGCCTCTCCAGTCTATTGACCTCTGTGCTTGTTTTCTCACGTTCTTTGCTGTATCGTTCAAACAAGCTTTTATTCTCAGATAGCCTTTGATTTGTTCGTCTAATACGATAGAAGCACAGTTAGTAATCTGCAATCACCAAGTGAATCCAATGTCTATTTAGCTTACAGGATCTGTGAATCAATATCATTGGTAAATCTAGAAGTGCCGTAATGCCTAGGTATTGCTTGTGATAGGAAACCGCCGTTTCTACAAATTGCATAAGAATGATTTGTTAAACATATAAAGTGCTCATAAACATCAACTTAAGACACAAGTTGTGACTTCATCTTACTTGGAACCAATACGATATCCATCCATAGTATAACACCGGCTAACGTTGTGAGGATATCCTCGTCCTTCATTATACATAACCTCATCAGCCTCAGCACGTCTTACGATTAAGACCGTTGATTCTATACGGAGACTGTTGATGAGTAGTCTCTTTACATACTCATCGTCAATCTAAGCATCAAGGCGAAAACAATGAACATTATTAATGTCGGTCTAAGGCAATGCTTATCATAATACCCGTTGATTACCTGCAAGATACGTGGTTTATAATCAAACTTATCAAGACCATTGACTAATATTGAAGATTGACTAAATGCAAAGCACAAGATACAGTTAAAAATCATTCAATAAACTATTATTAAACTAAACTCCAAATCGAATTACCAATTGTATCGTTTCATAATATCGGCCAATAGCCTCTGATCATGATAGTCAATTACCCCAAATGCACCCAAACTTTGTCCAATTACTGATTCCAAAGTCGGGCCCCATTCCGGCTTCAACAATTTCACATAAACACCCAATGGACC